CAAAACAGGTTGCTCAGTCCCAATGCCCGCTGAGAAGTGGAAAAATGCTTAATAAGTTGCCAAACATGAATAATAGAAACAGTTATCAACAGGGTTATGACTTTTAACTGTCAACACACATACGCCTTTAGCAAAAAGGCATTAGATCAGAGACCAAATAAGCCAACAGAACCCTGCAAACAATGTTTCCGTGTTAATTATTATAACCCATATCCAGACATTGCTTCTTTATAGTCACACACATGTATCCTGACCAAAACACAACCCATTGTGACCTTAATGAGCTAATCATTTTGGTCAGTACTGAAATCATCACAAATTCAGGTTTAATTGTAATTTTAGTCCATAATGGAGAGTATAATTTAGAATTATCTACTAAATACAATGCAAGAATGATTCTCATTTTTTTCCAGCTATAATAATATCTATGTGTATTTTGTCTTCTTCTTTGAAAATACATTGTTCATAGCAGCTTGGGTAACAAGATGACAATACAATTAGTTCCAAAGAAGTTTGTGAGTCACTTTGTCATGTCTGAGCCAGTATAGGTTTATTGACATCAAATATGCAGATAAGTTTTAATATTTATTATTCTTTAGAGAAAAAAACAAAGCCAGAAACTGAACATAAATTTATAGACTTGTTAACATGTGATGCATGCTCAGTCACTTCAGTCATGTCCGACCCTTTGCGATCAATAGACTGTAGCCTGCCAGGCTTCTCTGTCCGTGGGATTCTCCAGGCAAGAATATTGGAGTGGGTTGCCATGTCCTCCTCCAGGGGATCTTCCCAACGCAGGGATTGAACCCACGTCTCTTACATTTCCTGCATTGCAGGCAGATTCTTTACCACTGAGCACCAGGGAAGCCCAGATTTTTTAATACTTGGGATTAAATAGCAGATTTTAAGATGGGGAAAATATTCTTTCCACTAAATCCTATGGCATGATATTTTCCTTCTTTACACAAATAATTTTTTCTCTCTGTTCTTTTGCGAAGAAATCTGCCTTTTCATGCATCCCCACGTTTTCTTTCTTTTCTCTATAGTTCTGCATTCCAGCCTTTATCCTCTCAGTCAGTCTATTAACACAGAAACAAATCTGGTTTGCAATCAAAATGTTTTTTTATTAAAGTTGGTTTTAGAATTTGTATATATGTACCATTCAGTGTCACTCTCAATAAATCACAGTTATTAAAAAATACCAGCTTTAGGTATAGGAAGGTAAAGAAACATCAGAACTTCAAAAAAATTCATTAACTCATTCCTAGTTTCAGCAAATTATGTGTATGAATCAGGTTAAAAACTATGTCCTAAAATTTCTTCTACTGTTAAAGAGTCTAATGGTAAAGAAAAAAAGGGAATGGTCATTAAGAGCTACAGAATGAGGTGAAATATACTAGGCTGTATTATTAGGCAATATCTTAAGTAATATATCAAGTATGAAGTTCCCCCAAAAATTAAAAGCAGAACTACAGTACAATCCATCAATTCCATCCTGAGTATTCTGAAGAAAAAAAATAACTTGAAAAGATATATTTAGCTCTGTGTTCATTGAAGCATCATTTTGCTGGCCAAGATAAGGAAGCAACCAGTGTCCATTGACAGACGAATGGATAAAGATGATGTGGTTACTCATGGAATGGAATGATATTCAGCCATAAAAGAGAATGAAATCTTGCCATTTGCTACAACATGGATGAAACTAGAAAGTACTATGCAAAGTGAAATGACGGATACAGATGAATAGCATATGATGTGACTTATATGTGGAAATCTAAGAAAACAAAATAAGTGAAGAAACACAACAGACTCATAGATACAGAGAACAAACAACTGGTTGCCAGGGGGAAGTGGGATTGAGTGCCAAAGAAATTGTTGCAGGAGATTAAGAGTTGCAGACTTCCAGTTCCCAAAGGAATGAGTCAAGGGGATGAAATATACAACATGGGGAATATAGTCAGTAATAGTGTGGTAATTTTGTATCACAGCACATGGGAACTAGTCCTGTTGCTTGATCATTTTGTTCTGTACCACAATGTGGAGCCACTGCTTTGTACAGCTGAAAGTATCAGGATGTATGTCAATTGTACTTCAGTTAACAAACAAAAAAGGACTTGGAGTGATGAACCCCTACATAAATGCTTAACGATTCTTCATGGGTGTGACCATTCTCTTTTCATGGGTGATGCTATGAATTAATAATGAACACTAAAAGTACATCATAGATCAGAATTAAGAAAACTCAGAAACAAAGACATGAAACTCCCAAAAGAATAAGAAAATATTGAAAAGCACACGTAAATGAAATTTAAACAGAAACATGCTGTCAAATAATGCCTTGTAAGAAATGAAACAATAAGGAGGTAGAACTTAAACACTGTTTAAAAACACTCCTGGAAAATAAATTAAGCAAAAAATTATAAAATATTTCTTGAGTGTGTTAAAAGTGAAATATAATCATAAGGGATCTGATATTTGAAAGATTCAAGGACCTGAAAGAGAAAAATCAATAAAAGATGCAAAGCAAATAATAGGCATTATTGTCCAATTTTTTCTGATAATTTTAAAAACAACTTTTAAATTGTCTTTTGAAGAGAACCATGTGCATTCACTTGTAATGACTAAAGGCAGATGATATTCTAATGAACGTACAGGGCTTTAAAGAAAAACAAAAATCTTTTGGGCATCTAGAACAAAAGAGCAAGTGACATATAACGGAACAAAAAATCAGAATTCAAACTTTGTGGAGAGAAATACTCTGTGCCGGAAGAAGATAGAACAATGTATTTGAACTGCTCAAGGAGAGAAATGATGAATCATGAATTTTCTAGCAGGCAAGTAACTGGGTATCAAAGGCCCTGTCATTCAAGTCATCGTGAAAGATCTAGGGAAATACTGTTCCCATGATCAAAAGAATGAACAGACTTCAGCAAACAGAATCCTTAGAAAGACACATCAGGACAGATGGTATGGACTAAATTCACCGTCACCTGATGTAATGAAGACTGAATGAGGGTGACATGAGAGAGGGTGTGACCTTGGTGGTGGGCACAAGGGTGAATGCCTGACAACAATTCATTCAGTCTCACCTCTGATAAGGGTGATTTTCATAGGAAAATATGTTAAAAGCAACTAGATAGATGAATGTCATTTAATATAGAAAGCTTTCATAGTATATATAAAACATATATCTGAACATAATACTAAAGCTATACAATAAAAAAAACTAAGCTGTATAAATGAGGTTCCTTAGGAGATGAGCAGTGAGGCCGACCCTGTTCCTTGTCCAGTTGGAAACCTCCTGACTCTGTACTGCGTCCTTCCCCTCTGAGGCCCAGGCTGAGGCCCCCAGGTGAAGGCCTTCACAGGTGTCAGAGCAGAACCTGCCACACAAACACAAGGGCTGGAATCACTGAGGAGGCACAAAGACATGGAAGAAGGCTCCCTGGGCTGTGTGTAGGGAGTGTGCAGGAGCCAGAAGCCTCCGCAGGCCGGGAAGTAGCCTCGGGTCCTGACCTCCCCAGAGGTCAGCTCCACAGGGCACTGGGGTCTCTTTGCTGCTCTTTGCTGAAGGTGTTGTCTGCTAGCAGAGAGGGACTATGAATGTCCCTCTGGAGCAATCGAATTGGTCGTTTGTCTGGGTAGCCTTCAAGTCCCTGGACAGAGAAACTGGTGCAGAGGAAAGGGGAAGGTCTGGGGATCTGGGGCAAAGAAGCCGAGCGCCTCTCCCCTGGAACCTGTGAGGAGCCGGGGGTCTGATAACACAGGTGGGAGGGGTGACCCTGCCCCTCCAGCCCACACTCAATACCACCAATCATGAGATCTGCCCGGTGGAAATGACACAGACATGGGCAGCTGCCTTTATCCCTGATCATTCCTTCTAGATCCCCTGGAGAAGGAAACAGTAACCCACTCCAGTGTTTTTGCCTGGAGAATCCCATGCACAGAGGAGCCTGGCGGGCTACAGCCCACGGGGTCGCAAAGAGTTGGACACGACTTAGTAACTAAACGACAATGATTCTAAGCCCCCAGCAGAGCTTTGCCTGTGCTTTTAATTTAAAAAAATCCTTAAGCTGTGGTAATAAAAACATGGATTTATCTCAGTGGTATATTGCAACATGAAAAGTTTACAGAAGACACTGCTTAAACTGTAATTTAAAAAAGTGATGTTCATGTTAAAATAAATACAAATACGTAAAAGGTACAAAAAGTAACTTGAATCCTGCCCTGTAACTCAACCCAGGCGAACCCTGATTGGAATTGCTCTCAGGTGTTTAGTGGGAATTTGACACATAGACTAGAATCTACAGAACTTCAAATTTCAGTGTGAGAAATGGTCTCCCCAGGTGACCTAAGCACTCCACTGGCCTCCCCAGAAGCTTGGACAGCTCTCACTCAGGTTGGGATCCTTCAGTATCCTCTACTTGATGCCAGGACTACTAAGCACCACAGGGATGCCAGGCTGGGCAGGTGGGGCTGTCCTGCTTTCTGAGCACTGGGGTACCTGTGTCTTCTTCACTCTTTTTTCCCAAACCTTTGGAACTGAGGAAGTCAATGCCATCACCTAGTGATTAAGTGGGGGTGCCCTGGGCTGACGACACTGGGGGCTTGAAAGGGCAGGACCAGGTCCTGCGGATGGCGATGATGCGCCACTCCAGTGGTGCTCTTCACAAAGAAACAGTTTGAACAGCATCTCCTGGAGTCAGACACACGCTGGCTCCTCCCCTCCGGTGTGAGAGCTACTGGAGGACACCACCTAGGAACCTCGGGGTCTTCTGTGAAAGGATACCAGTCCCCCTAGGAGATATGTTCAGCTCACAGCATTCTCCACCTGTCTGCATGAATCATTACAATCCTCTTTTCTCCACGTTTGTGTCACACGCAATAGCAGCTGCCTCAGTGTTTGTGCTGGTCTTTCCGAAATGCCATCAAGTAAGTTAGGGGCGTGAGGGAGAACACGTGCACTTGTGTGCCTTACCTTTCATCCCCCGCCTCCATATTTATGTCTCCTCCTCCATGTCATCTTCTTTGCTGACTGCAGACCCAAGAGCTTCTCTTAAGAGGAGGAGAGAGTATCTTGACATCTGGAGGGAAGAAAATGGTTGCATGTGTCCAGAGCTGTCCAAGGCAGCAGAACACCCATGTGGGGGACCCCAGGGCAGGGACAGATTTCAAAGGGGTCTGACTCAAAGCCAGCTTCCTGCCTGAACCACTCTGAGTAGCTCCACCAGATTCAATGGTGCAGAAGTGGGGTCAGGAGCCAGGGAGATGCCAGGGGGAGGAGGGCTGCAGAGAGATTTTTATAAAAGATCCCAGGACACATGTGCCTGCATGAGGCCAGATTCTTCAGGACAAGAATCATTCAAAATGGGGATGCAAAAGCGCTACAAAGAGGAGCTTATGATTAGAAGAAAAGAGAAAGTGGAGAAGAGATGAAAGAAATAAATTACATGCAGACTGGTGCTCTCCTGATCCGATTCTTCATTAGACTCGAAGTAGTAGTCTAGTGTCCGAGGGCAGCAACGATGCGGTGGCCAAGAGAAAGGAAAGCAGAAAATTAGAGTCAAGATGAGAACTAGGGGCCTTGATGCTCCTGGGATCATGTAGCCTGCTCTCAGAATCCCTTCTTTCCTCATGTCCATGGTCCTTCCAGGGCATTAATTGTTTCATCCCTGCAATGAAGGAGTGGGTCTCTGACCTCTCACATACTTTTGCAGCCCTCAGATTCCCTACATGTGACCATGAATGAAGGCCTGTGTCATCCTGTTCCTCCTTCCAGCAGCCACTGTGTTCAGCATCTCTGTGCATGAGGTTGCCTTCCTCTCTCTCCATCCTCCTCCTCACTCCTTCCTTTCCTTATTTCTCTCTTAATTAGTGCTTCTTTCCTTTCTCCTGTCCCCCTCCATCAATCATATAGTTCGCCAATATGGGTACATTGGAGGAATGTCCATGAGTATACTGTCACCGTCTTCAGTCAGACGATGGATCAACTAGGCAATCCATCCTTTCCATGGAGTAGCAGGCATGGGCCTGATACTGTGTGGGCCACATAAGAAGTGGCTGTCCTGAGCCTGGGGTGACTGGAGGCACCTGGGAGATACTTAATCCTCATGCCAACCCCATAGGTCTCCTAGCCCCTGACAGAAGATGAGAGTCAAATCAGAGGAAAAGTAAGTAGTCCAAATTCCCTTAACGTGAAAATGATTCAACACAAGTCCTACATGAATACACCGTACCTGCCCATGTTTGCCCTAAACCGTAAAGAGACGGAGGGAGCAGACCAGGGCAGGCCCGAGGAAAGGTCACAGGATGAGCGTAACGGAGGCTGGGGCCTCTACAGAGGCATGTCTGGTTGGAGCAGAGGGATCTAAGATCAGCAGGGCCCTCTGGCTTTGCTATCCTGAAGCTCTGTCCTGAGACCTGGACAGTCACAGGCGACAAAGGTCGGCAGTGTGTGAAGCAAGCCCAGCAGCCCCTGCACACGGTCCACCAGAATTCCTGCCTGCCAGGGAGGGTTCTCTAGGGGCCACTGGATATGGACATCCCAGAAATGGAAGTACATTCATGACGCAAGCCTTGGGTGAGATGAGGAGGCAGACATGAGATCAAGGATACTGGAGCATACGCAGTAACCCCAGAGGACGGATCCTTTAACTCCTCCACACTGGGGGTGCTCTTTACGTGAGGAACAAACAGTGAGGGCAGAACATGAATGTGATGCCATTAAAGTACAGAGGGAGAGACTTCTCATCCACCTCCACACTCAGCAGAAGAACTTGGTGTCCAGGTTCAAGTGCCAATGAGAGTTTTGTGTCCCAGCAGATTATGTGCATCATAGACCAATAAAGAAAACAATACCAAAATCTCTCATGCATAATACCCTCAGGGTGCTAATCAGAAACCATGCTTTCACAGTAGGCAGTAACAAAAGCAGGAAAAATCGTAGGTAAACACTTTTTGCATACCAAAGGCAGAAAAGATGATTGTAGACAACACCACATTCAAAGACCATGGACACATTTCCATTTACTCTTATATATTTAAAATACAAAGGGCTTCCCTGGTGGCTCAGTTGGTAAAGAATTTGGCTGCAATGCAGGAGACCTGGATTCAGTCCCTGGGTTGGGCAGATCCCCTGGAGAAGGAAATGACAACCCACTCCAGTATTCTTGCCTGGAGAATTCCATGGACAGAAGAGCTTGGAAAGCTACAGACCATGGGGTCACAAAGAGTCAGACATGACTCAGTGACTAACACTTTCACTTTTCATTTAAAATAAAACAAAAAACCCCACACCAAATCCAATTTCTACCCATATTTCGACATTTCCCCCCAGTTCATACATATCCACCTTCCTCAGTCTCCAAACAAGCATGTGTAACCCAAGTGCTCCCAGGACCCCTCTCCTATAGGACCCTACCGGAGTGTCGTTCCCTACCTGTAGCATCTTCATCCTGGCTGCTATATGTGCTCTCCAGCATCTGGCCTGTAGAAATCCAAACATGAGTGATAACGTTGTTAGAAAGTGTGACCAACCTGTCTTTCCTACTTCACTTGAGGTTATTGTGGGTCTCAGAGCATCACCCTGATTTTTTCTTCCAGATTCTCAGGTTCTCCTTATTATGTTCCATGGAGTAAGACCACTCGATAAGACATTGCTCACAGTTAAAAAGTTCATATGAGAGAAAGATTCTGAAGATGCACCTCTAAACTTCTCACTTTTACAGACACATGAGAGCTCTTCCCTCTAAATTTACAAACCTGAAATTCCAACTGTATGAACAAACTTGAAATGTGCCTAGTGGGATTGAGCAATTGGATGAGTTTCGTGTTTTATATTAATAGAGTGAGTTAATTATTGAATTAGACAACTGTGAACAGGTACCTCTGGCTAATGGCTATCACACTGTATAACACAGATCTAAAGTATCAAAGATAAAGGAGCTATTGTTGCTCTTCCTGTGATTTTTCCTACTGCAGAGTATTGTGCTGGTCTGATCTGATCATTCATTTGTAAGTATTTCCTGAGCTCATGCATACAAGCCACAAATTCTCAAAGTGGAGAGGGAGAGAATTTATTCTGGTCCAACAGCTGACACTCAGATGAAGAATTTGGTGTCCAGGTGCAAGTGCCTATGGGAGTTTTGTGTCCCAGCAGATTATATGCCACGTAGGTCAGTAATAAACACAAAACCACAATCTCTTATGCACAGTACCCTTTGGGTATTCATCAGACACCAGTCTTTCAAGTTGGCAGTGACCAAAAGAAAGAGCAGATCTTATAGAAAAGATGGTTTTTACATACAAAGGAAGATGTGCATGTGTGCTAAGTCACTTCAGTCGTGTCCCAACTCCTTGTGACCCTATGGGTTGTAACCGGCCAGGCACCTCTGTCTATGGGATTCTCCAGGCAAGAGTCCTGGACTGGATTGCCACTTCCTCCTCCAGCAGATCTTCCTCACCCAGGGATCGAACCCTCGTCTCCTGCCTTGCAGGCGGATTCTTTACCTCTGAGCCATCAGGGAAGTCCACAGAGGAAGATAAGCAATTACAATCACAGCACAGACAGAGCTCGTGGCCAGTCCTTCTTACTTTGAATATTAAAATATGAAAAAAAAATATGAAATGGACATTTCTACATGTATTTCCTGTTTTTCAATGTCTACATCTTCCTCAACAGCAGGTGTAACCCGAGTGTTCCCAGGAGCCCTTTCAAGTTGTATCCTACCTGAATGTCATTCCCTACCTGTACTGCATTCATTTTCACTGTCATATATGCTTTCCAAAATGCATTCTGAGAAACAAAAATATGAGTAATAAAGTTATTAGGAAGTGTGACTCACACATTTCTCCTGCTTAACTTGAGGTTATTCTGGATCACACAGAGAAACCCTGTGGTTTCCTCCAGGTTCTGAGATCTTCTCTGGGCTCTGTGAACTCAAGTAATCTTCAATAAGACATTGGTCACAGTTGCAAACCTTCAAAAGTAGGGAGAAGCTGAAGAATAACCTTTCAACTTCTCACTTCCAGGAATCTATCTATAGTTCTTACCTCCAAGATAACAAACCTGAATTTCTAGCATTTAAAATGTGACTAGTATGACTATGCAGTTGGATGTTTTGTTTTGTTTCCCTTTAATAGATTGGGTTAATTATTGATGGAATTAATTGTGAACAGGTACACCCACCTAGTGGCTGCCATTGAATAGAGCAGCTCTAGAGATACAATGCCAAAGAATGCTCAAACTACTGCACACTTGCACTCATCTCACACACTAGCAAAGTAATGCTCAAAATTCTCCAAGTCAGGCTTCAACAGTACATGAACCGTGAACTTCCAGATGTTCAAACTGGATTTAGAAAAGGCAGAGGAAACCAGAGATCAAATTGCTAATATCCGTTGGATCATTGAAAAAGCAAGAGAGTTCCAGAAAAACATCTATTGCTGCTTTATTGACTATGCCAAAGCATTTGACTGTGTGGATCACAACAAACTGGAAAATTCTTAAAGAGATGGGAATACCAGACCACCTGACCTGCCTCCTGAGAAATCTGTATGCAGGTCAAGAAGCAACATTTAGAACTGGACATGGAACAACAGACTGGTTCCAAATAGGGAAAGGAGTATGTAAAGGCTGTATATTGTCACTCTGCTTACTTAACGTATATGCAGAGTACATCATGAGAAATGCTGGACTGGATGAAGCACAAGCTGGAATCAAGATTGCTGGGAGAAATATCAATAACCTCAGATATGCAGATGACACCACCCTTATGGCAGAAAGCAAAGAACTAAAGAGTCTCTTGATGAAAGTGAAAAAGGAGAGTGAAAAAGTTGGCTTAAAACTCAACATTCAGGAAACTGAGACCATGGCATTTGGTCCCATCACTTCATGGCAAATAGATGGGGAAACAGTGGAAACAGTGAGAGACTTTATTTTTTTGGACTCCAAAATCATTGCAGATGGTGAATGTAACCATGAAATTAAAAGACACTTGCTCCTTAGAAGAAAAGTTATGGTCATCCTAGACAGCATATTAAAAAGTAGAGACATTACTTTGCCAACAAAGCTCTGTCTAGTCAAAGCTATAGTTTTTCCAATAGTCATGTATGGATGTGAGAGTTGGACTATAAAGAAAGCTGAGCACTGAAGAATTGATGCTTTTGAACTGTGGTGTTGGAGAAGACTCTTGAGAATACCTTGGACTGCAAACCACTTCATCCTAAAGAAAATCAGTCCTGACTATTCATTGGAAGGACTGATGTTGAAACTGAAACTCCAATACTTTGGCCACCTGATGTGAAGAACTGACTCATTTGAAAAGATCCTGATGCTGGGAAAGATTGAAGGTGGGAGGAGAAGGGGACAATAGAGGATGAGATGGTTGGATGGCATCACCGACTCAATGGACATGAGTTTGAGTAAACTCCGGGAGTTGTTGATGGACAGGGAGGCCTGGTGTGCTGCAGTTCATGGGGTCGCAAAGAGTCAGACATGACTGAGTGACTGAAGTGAACTGAACTGAGAGACACAGATGAGGAAGGGGCATCCACCCCTTTCCTGTTTTTTTCCTTGTTGCAGAGTAGTTTGTTGGTCTGATCTGAGCATTCATTTATATTTCCTGCTTTCATCCACATGTGCCAGGAATTATGTGAGGCCTTTGTGTTGTTGATGTTTAGTTGCTAAGTCATGCTGACTCTTTTGCGACCCCATGGACTGTCCATGGGATTTTCCAGGCAAGAATACTGGAGTGGGTTTCCATTTCCTTCTGCAGGGGATCTTCCTGACCCAGGGATCAAACTCACAGCTCCTGCCACGTCTCCTGCGTTGCAGGCGGGTTGTTTACTGCTGAGCCCTGAGGAAGCCCCATTTGAGGCCTTGGGACACACTCAAACAGTAATGTCAATAGCTAGGTCGTAGATGAATTCTTAGCAGGGGGCATATAAGCTGAGGTGCTAGGGTTTGCCCGGTGCACCTGTGCTAGACATAATCCAAGAGGAGGGGCAGGGAGAGGGTGGACACTTCCCTTGAATCACGAACCCATCCTTCTCACCCCAGCTCTGGAAGGGTCAGGAGGTCAAGGACAAAGGTCCTAAGATGGTAAACAACTTGTATACAGAAAACTTCAAAACATTGCTGAAAGAATTAAATAAGAGCCACTAACTGGAATGATAGCATCACCAATTCAATGGCCATGAATTTGAGCAAACTCCAGAAGATGGTGAGGGACAGGGAAGCCTGGCGCGCTGCAGCCCTTGGGGTCACAAAGAGTCAGACCCAACTTAGTAACTGAACAGAAAACAAAGTTGGAATGAAATGCCATGTTCATACACTGAAGTCCATATTGTTGAGATTTCCATACCACCCAAAGTGATGTACAGATTCACTGCAACACCTAACAGAAATCCAATGGCATTTTATAGAAAGGGAAAATTTTTTCTTAAAATATGTAGGAAACCACAGAGAACCCAAAGAGCCAAGGCAATCTTGATAGCAAGAACAAAATTGGAGGCTTCACACTTCCTGAATTCAAAGCATATTGCAAAGTCACAGCAGTCAAAAGAGTGGGGTAATGGCATCAAAACAGGCAGATAGACCCATGGACCAGAAGAAAAGCTTTCAAAGTCATTCTTACATACTGAAACAATGACCTTCACCAATGTTCTAAGACTGTACAATGGTGAAAGAATAGTCTCCAGCAATCAACAGAATGAAGAGACATCCTACAGCATGGGAGAAAATATTTGCAAATCTAATATTTGAGAAGGGAGCTAATATCCAAAATATATAATAAACTACTAGAACTCAATTGCATCATAAGAGGCAAATAATTCTGTTTTAAAATGGGCTGCAAATTTGAATAAACATTCCTCCTAAGAAGATATATGAATAGCCAACACACATATGGAAAGGTGCTCAACATCACTCATCATCCTGGAAATGCAAATCTAAACCACAGTGAGGTATCACCTCACACCCATTCAGATGTGGGTGTGAGTACATAAAAAATTGTTTAAAGAAAATCAAATTGGTGAAGATATGGATAATTGGAAATTTCGTACGCAGTTGGAGGGAATATAAAATGATACAGCCATTATGGAAGACAGTACGAAGTTTCCTCAAAAAACTACAAACAGACCCTACCATATGATCCAGGAATCCCAAATCTGGTCTATATCCGAAGGAAGAGAAATCAGCATCTGGAAGACAGATCTGCAATCTCATGATCACTGCAGCACTATATACTATATACTAAGCATGATATCTGAGATAGAAATACAGCCCCAGGTCCATAGGCAGATGTATTGAGGAATAAAATGTGGTGAATATATACAATGAGGTGCCATTCAGCCTTTATGGAAGATGGAGATCCTGCCATTTGCAGCATCATGAACAAAGAGAATACTATTTGAAGTGAAATAAACCACTGACAGAAGGATGGATACTGTATGAGGCCATTGAAATGGGGTATCTGAAATAACAGTCATAAGCAGATTGTAGAAGGGTGGTTGCCAGCAGCAGGAGGAACTGGAAATGGGAGTGTTAAGTCCTGCAAGATGAAAATGTTCTAAATATCTGCTATACAAAGATGTGCATATAGTTAAAAATAATGTACTGTACACAAACAACTGGATGTTAGAGCTCATGTCATGTATTTTAAATCACAATTAAAAATAAGGGAAAATAAAATCCAAAGAAAAGAAAGAGGGGGGAAGGAAGGAAAGAGGAAAATGGAAGGTGTCTGGAGTGTCACAAAGGCAGCTGGAGACAAGGACAGACAAGAGAAAGTTCCTCTCGCAGGTCTTAAAGAAGATGCCTGTCCAGTGTTCACTCCAACAAGATGGCCCTGTGCTTTCTCACCCCCAATCAAGAAGGACCCCAAAGAGCATCCTCCGTGAGGGCCTGACTGGGCTCAGGTGCTGTACCCCGATTCCTGATCTTGAAACCAAGCACCTGATCACCACGGGGCCTGGGTGCCTTCCTCTGTCTTCCTTCTGCTCCTCTAAAGTGTTTCCTCTTCAACTCATGCCCAAGGATCTTGGTGCTGTTTCCACACATGAGACCACTAGCCTCATCTTTGAGTTCTTATTTACAAAGCTAAGACATGGAAGCAATGCAAGTGCCCATCAACAGATTCACAGCACATGAATTCATTTATAGACACTCCCACACCCATTTACACAGACTGACATCACCTAACCATAATACAGCTGCTTCCTGGCATGCTAATTCTTGGCCTCAGTTCTTTACCTGGAAAATCACATTCCATCCCCAGGTCCCATATTCCCAGTCCCAGCAGGAAACCGGAATCGGGTGGCTCTCCACAGGAAAACCAGCAAGAAAGCCCCATCTTTCGCACCTTCTAAACTTTTCTACCCGAGTGATTTGAGGATACATACCGTTTTCACTTTCTACTGAGACCACCTGCAATTACAGAAGAGAAAACACTATGAGGATCAGATCATGCTGTGGCCCATTTGCACAGGTTTTTGTTCATTTGGTGACAGTGGAAATCCAGGTGGGAAAGACTGGCAAAGTCAAGAGAACCCAGCAAGAACAGAGCAAACCTCCTCAGGCCAAAAGGCATGAACTTTTCCTGGAGAATGTGTCTCCCAAGTTCATTTTTATTGGCTGTGACAAGATTATTTTCCTAGGAGGAAAAATTGCTGCAAGAATACGAACTCACTACTGTACAGTGTACAGCTGATGTTGTCAATTTGTTAATTCCCTTTGGAATCCAGTATCATCAGTTGGTAATAGACTCCCACTCCATATTCTCCCACTCAAGGAAATTGTATGCATCATCCAGGATGCACATGCTCAGTTTTCCATATCTTAATTCCATGGAAAGAGATATAGATTAACCTTTCTATCTCAGGGTAAGAAAGGTGAGCTTACTTTAGAGATAGGTGAAGCTTCTTCCTCTGCTCTGTCCTTCAACGAATCCTCCGGGGGAGCTAAGCAGACACAGAGTAAATGTTAACACGTTAGTTGTATTCATCAGAAGCTACTCAAGTAGTTTGGCTTGATGTGGACAAGGGCTGGGATTGTGTGGACATGCGTGCATGTGTACATGATCAGTCACTTCAGTCACATCCAACTCTTTGTGACCCTATGGACTGTAGCCTGCCAGGCTCCTCTGTACATGGGATTCTCCAGGCAAGAAAACTGGAGTGGGTTACCACATCCTCCTCCAGAGGATCTTTCCAACCCAGGGATCAAACCTGCATCTTCTGTGGCTCCTGCATTGCAGGGGGATTTTTTTCCCTTGAGCTACCGAGGAAGCCCTGATTGTGCGCATGTGGGTGGTTAATATGTTTAGATTAGGCTACCTTTGGGGAGTTTGGATGATGAAGACAAAAGAGTAAAAAAATGAAAACAGAGCCACTGACTTTCCATCTCTGGAGAACCTAATCATGTGAAATAGTCTGTAAAAGAGTAAACACTAAAATGCATGCTCTGTTTCACTGACAGAATCCCGTGACTCCTGCTGTCTGCTTCGCAGGTGAACTAAATGCTACTGTCTCCTTGTTTTCTTCCAAGATCACTTCTTCCTCCTGGATTCACAGTTGCTGCTACTGTATTTATAATAATATCTAGAGGATTTTGTACTTGATTAAAAGCAAACATCATTGGGGAACTGAATTCCATGTGAGGCAAATCATGCTATTATATTTATTCACTTTTAGCTTTCATAAGGAAAATCAAAAACAGCACCCAGTTGTGGATGTGACTGGTGATAGAAGCAAGGCCTGATGCTGTAAAGAGCAATATTGCACAAGAACCTGGAATGTTAGATCCATGAATCAAGGCAAATTGGAAGTGGTCAAACAAGAGATGGCAAGAGTGAATGTCAACCTTCTAGGAATCAGCAAACTAAAATGGACTGGAATGGGTGAATTTAACTCAGATGACCATTATATCTACTACTGTGGGCAGGAATCCCTTAGAAGAAATGGAGTAGCCATCATGGTGAACAAAAGAGTCCAAAATGCAGTACTTGGATGCAATCTCAAAAACGACAGAATGATCTCTGTTTGTTTCCAAAGCAAACCATTCAACATCACGGTAGTCCAAATCTATGTTCCGACCAGTAACACTGAAGAAGCTGAAGTTGAACAGTTCTATGAATACCTACAAGACTTTTTAGAACTAACACACAAAAAAGATGCCCTTTTCATTATAGGGGACAGGAATGCAAAAGTAGGAAGTCAAGAAACACTTGGAGTAACAGGCAAATTTGGCCTTGGAGTACAGAATGAAGCAGGGCAAATGCTAATAGAGTTTTGCCAAGAGAATGCAGTGGTCATAGCAAACACCCTCTTCCAACACAAGAGAAGACTCTACACTTGGACATCACCAGATGGCCAACACCAAAATCAGATTGATTATATTCTTTGCAGCCAAAGATGGAGAAGCTCTATACAGTCAGCAAAAACAAGACCAGGAGCTGACTGTCGCTTAGATCATGAACTCCTTATTGCCAAGTTCAGACTTAAATTGAAGAAAGTTGGGGAAAACCACTAGACCATTCAGGTATGACCTAAATCAAATCCCTTATGATTATACAGTGGAAGTGACAAATAGATTCAAGAGATTAGATCTGATAGACACACTGCCTGAAGAACTATGGATGGAGGTTCGTGACACTGTACAGGAGACAGGAATCAAGACCATCCCCAAGAAAAAGAAATGCAAAAAAGCAAAATGGCTGTCTGGGGAGGCCTTACAAATACTGTGAAAAGAAGAGAAGAGAAAAGCAAAGGAGAAAGGGAAAGATATACCCATTTGAATGCAGAGTTCCAAAGAATAGCAAGGAGATATAAGAAAGCCTTCCTCAGCGATCAGTGCAAAGAAATAGAGGAAAACAATAGAATGGGAAAGACTAGAGATCTCGTCAAGAAAATTAGAGATACCAAGGGAACATTTCATGCAAAGATGGGCTCAATAAAGGACAGAAATGGTATGGATCTAACAGAAGCAGAAGATATTAAGAAGAGGTGGCAAGAATACACAGAAGAACTGTACAAAAAAGATCTTCACAACCCAGATAATCATGATGGTGTGATCACTCACCAAGAGCTAGACGTCCTGGAATGTGAAGTCAAGTGGGCCTTAGGAAGCATCACTATGAACAAAGTGGAGGTGATGGAATTCCAGTTGAGCTATTTCAAATGCTAAAAGATGGTGCTGTGAAAGTGCTTCACTCAGAATGCCAGCAAATTTGGAAAACTCAGCAGTGGCCACAGGACTGGAAAAGCTCAGTTTTCATTTCAATCCCAAAGAAAGGCAATACCAAAAAATGTTTGAACTACCGCACAATTGCACTCAGCTCACATGCTAATATAGTAATTCTCAAAATTCTCCAAGCCAGGTTTCAGCAATATGTGAACTATGATCTTCCAGATGTTCAAGCTGGTTTTAGAAAAGGCAGCAGAACCAGAGATCAAACTGCCAACATCCGCTGTATCATTGAAAAAGCAATAGAGTTCCAGAAAAACATCTATTGCTGCTTTATTGACTATGCCAAAGCATTTGACTGTGTGGGTCACGATAAATGGTGGAAGATTCTGAAAGAGATGGGAATACCAGACCACCTGACCTGCCTCTTGAGAAAACTGTATGCAGGTCAGGAAGCAACAGTTAGAACTGGACATGGAACAACAGACTGGCTCCAAATAGGGAAAGGAGTACATAAAAGCTGTATATTGTCACTCTGCTTATTTAACTTATATGCAGAGTACATCATGAGAAATGCTGGGCTGGAGGAAGGACAAGATGGAATCAAGATTGCCGGGAGAAATATCAGTAACCTCAGATATGTAGATGACACCATACTTATGGCAGAAAGCAAAGAACTAAAGAGCCTCTTGATGAAAGTGAAAGAGGAGAGTGAAAAAGTTGGCTTAAAGCTCAACATTTAGAAAACTAAGATCATGGCATCTGGTCCCATCGCTTCATAGCAAATAGATGGGGAAACAGTAGCTGTCTTTATTTTGGGGGGCTCCAAAATTACTGAAGATGGTGATTGCAGCCATGAAATTAAAAGATGCTTACTCCTTGGAAGGAAAGTTATGACCCACCTAGATACCATATTAAAAGCAGAGACATTACTTTGCCAACAAAGGTCTGTCTAGTCAATGCTATGGTTTTTCCAGTGGTCATGTATGGAGTTGGACTATAAAGAAAGGTGAGCACCAAAGAATTGATGCTTTTGAACTGTGGTGTTGGAGAAAACTCTCGAGTGTCCCTTGGACTGCAAGGAGATCCAACCAGTCCATCCTAAAGAAAATCAGTCATGGGTGTTCTTTGGAGGGACTCATGTTGAAGCTGAAACTCCAATACTTCGGCCACCTGATGTGAAGAGCTGACTTATTTGAAAAGACCCTGATTCTGGGAAAGATTGAGGGCAGGAGGAGAAGGGGATGACAGAGGATGAGCTGGTTGGATGGCATCACCGACTCAATGGACATGAGTTTGAGTAAACTCCAGGAGTTGGTGATGGATAGGGAGGCCTGGCATGCTGCGGTTCATGGGGTCACAAAGACCCGGACACAACTGAGTGACTGAACTGAACTGAACTGAAGGAAAATAAAATATAAATGTTAGAAAATACTAAGATCTTACTGCTTAAAAATTGACACTATCATGTGCCATTTTCTTCCCCGTCTTCTTTTTTTTTTTAATTTTTATTTTTTCCATTTATTTTTATTAGTTGGAGGCTAATTACTTTACATCATTGCAGTGGTTTTTGTCATACATTGAGATGAATTAGCCATGGATTTACATGTATTCCCCATCCCGGTCCCCCCTCCCACCTCCCTCTCCACCCGATCCCTCTGGGTCTTCCCAGTGCACCAGGCCTGAGCACTTGTCTCATGCACCCAACCTGGGCTGGTGATCTGTTTCACCCTAGATAATATACGTGTTTCGATGCTGTTCTCTTGAAACATCCCACCCTGGCCTTCTCCCAGAGTCCACAAGTCTGTTCTATACATCGGAGTCTCTTTTTCTGTTTTGCATATAGGGTATCGTTACCATCTTTCTAAATTCCATATATATGTGTTAGTATACTGTAATGGTCTTTATCTTTCTGGCTTACTTCGCTCTGTATAATGGGCTCCAGTTTCATCCATCTCAATAGAACTGATTCAAATGAATTCTTTTTAATGGCTGAGTAATATTCCATGGTGTATATGTACCACAGCTTCCTCATCCATTCATCTGCTGATGGGCATCTAGGTTGCTTCCATGTCCTGGCTATTATAAACAGTGCTGCGATGAACATTGGGGTGCACGTGTCTCTTTCAGATCTGGTTTCCTTGGTGTGTATGCCCAGAAGTGGGATTGCTGGGTCATATGGCAGTTCTATTTCCAGCTTTTTAAGAAATCTCCACACTGTTTTCCATAGTGGCTGTACTAATTTGCATTCCCACCAACAGCGTAAGATGGTTCCTTTTCTCCACACCCTCTCCAGCATTCTTTTTGTAAACAATGTGTGCGTGTCCGCTGATAGGTGGCAGTTCACACTCCCATGGGCCATCCAACCAGAGGAACAGTTCATTACAGAGAGGAAGGCTGGAGTGAGTGCTGATGTCTCTAACCCAGCCATGCAGGAGGTTTGGAAAAAGGCTGATGGGCACCAGGTCTAACAATCAAATTCATTTAGACTTCTTTGCCACTGTGCCATCGGTGAGTGTTTACAGGATTCTAGCATTTCTAAGGCTTGTGGTAGTAGTATCCAACACAATAAATACCTCCCTCATTCTTGCTGTGTTGGATCAAATGCTAAACAATGACCCCAGCACTGAAAGATGTTGACCTGCACTGTCCTATGTGGAACCTCACACCTCTCAGAATCTGTGAGCTGAGCACAGTGTGCTGGCTTTCTGGGCGTGCTTCATACACTTGACTCTGCCCAGGTTGGCTACTGAATGCCCCGACAGCTGCCCTGGGCTCTGTGGGCCACCTTAGAGTGATGGCCTGTGTATGGGACCTCTGGAGAGCCTAGTGCTGCCAGGCATGTACACAGAGCAGAGATCCCCTTGACCCGGGACTGATGATCCTGTGGCTGAGTGATAAGTACAGGTCAGTGGTCCAGAGCATCACATTGGGACCCTCATCTGGGTTCCCATTTTGACTTTTCCCTTTAGGAAGTCAAGAGTTTTGGCCATTTATCTCTGTCCCATCTCTCTCTGAGGACAGAGAATATTATCCAAACCTCTGGGAACAGCTGTGGTGAAGGAAGAATGAGGTGGTGTTTTTTTTTCTTAACAGAAAGTTGACAGGAGTGTTCTGTGTAAGTGGGAAATAGCTCTTGGGGGAATCAACGCATTTATACACACAGAGTGACAATCATACCTGTAACCTCACATGTGGACAACCTGTTAGTCCTCATACACACAAGCCAACATCATCTAAATGATCTCACAGCTTCCAGGGACTATACAACAAGTTCAATACTGTTTTGAGGGAAATTCATTTCTTTCACTAAATCCTTTAACCCTCTTTCCTAGTGGGAACCCAGAATCAGGGTGTTTCTCCAACCAAAGCAGGCAAGACAGCCCCACATTCTTCATCACTTTTTCCTCTGAAGAGGAGTAGTTTCAGAATACGTACAGTTTTCACCAGCTGTTGCATCCTCCTGGGAAGAGAGAGAAGAGGACACTGTGAAGACTCACAGATAACAGAACAAACTAGAGGTTACCAATGCGGAGAAGAAAAGGTTCCCCTTTCCTCAGCGCCATGAGTGTTGGATGGATTTAAAGGGTACAAACTACTTTGTATAAAATAGAGGAGCAACCAGGATGTATTGTAGAGCTCCGAAAATTAGAGCCATTCTTTTTTCTTTTTTTCTTTTAGGATTTATTTGTTTATTTAATTTTTGGCTATGCTGGGTCCTCAATGCTATGTGCAGGCTTTCTCTATTTGTGTCGAGTGAGGGCTCCTCTTCATTATGGTGCATGGGCTTCTCCCTATGGTGGTATTCTTCCTGTGGACCATGGGCTCCAGGCGTGTTTGCTTCACTAGTTGCAGTTCACGGGCTCAGTATTTGTAGCTCTTCTGCTCTATAGTGCAGGCTCAGTAGTTGAGGCACATGGGCTTAGTTGCTCTGCAGCATGTGGGATCTTCCCAGACCAGGGATTGAACCCATGTCCCCTGAATTGGCAGGTGGATTCTTAACCATTAGACCACCAGGGAAGCCCAAGCCATTATTTTCTAACAACTTTTTATGCAGTATAATTGGAAAAACACTGAACCACTATGCTATACATTTAATATAATATTGTAAATCAACTATAATTCAATTAAAAAAATTTAAACCTCTGGGGATGGCAACATCCTGTGAATGGTGGGTACAGTTAGTTCTTTGGGTGACTTTGGGAAACCAGATTGGAAACAGGTTGTCGAGTTTATGGCCCCAGTGAAACAGTGAAGACACCTGCAGAAAACTCTTGGACTATTCATGGAAGAACTTCCCAAGTCCATGTTGACCGGCAAATACAAAATTCTTTTTCCAGTGGGAAAATACTCTGTTTGGGGAAAAAGCTATCTTCCAGTTTCTAAGTGATGCTATCATTTTTGAAATGTCCTTTCAACCAAGTATCTTTTGGTAATAGACTTTCACTCAACATTCCCCCGATCAAGGAAATTGTAAGTATCATCTATATTGAACATTGTCAGATGTCTGAATTTGATTGGGAAGGAAAAAGAGATTAACCAACATTTTCATCTCAGGTAAAGAAAGGGGAGCTGACCTTGGGAGTAAGGGGGATCTCTCCCTCTGTCCTGTCATTAGGCAGGTCCTCCAACAGGTCCGCAGGGGGAGCTAAGAGAACAGAGAGTAAACATCAGCATGTTGGTGGTGGAGCTCAGGAACTAGAGAGAGTTCACTGCTGTGGACGTGGGATGGGATGTGGGTGGTTAATATAGACTGAACTGTGGTTTGGCATCATGTTGGTGGACTGAAGGCAGGCAAGGTGAGAAGAAAGGGAAAAGTGGGGAAAAAAAGAAGCCTTTAGTTTTCTAGCCATGGGGATCAGGCTCAATAGGAAATAGTCTGAAAAACAAGGACCCCTCTTGACCCAGGACTGATGATCCTGTGACTGAGTGATAAGTACAGGTCAGTGGTCCAGAGTGTCCACGTTGGAACCCTTGCCTGGGTTCCCATTTTGACTTTTGCCTTTAAGAAGTCAAGAGTTTGGGCCATTTATCTTCTGCCCCATCTCCATCCGAGGAGAGAGAATATTATCCACATTTCCAGGAATAGCTGTGTGAGGGAAGAATGAGTGTACAGACAGTGAGCAGTGGTGATGAGTTTTTTTTTTTACAGAGCCTTGACAGATGTATCATGCTGTGTGAGTGGGAAATAGCTCCTGAGGAAACAGGCACTCCTCCACACACACAGATTCACAATCACACCAACAGGCTCACACAGGGACACTCAATTTTCATTCACACAAACCCACACACAATAACCATTCTCGTATTTTCCAAGGACTGTGCAACATGGGGTTGCTCTTTGCTGCATGCATGCTCAGTTGCAACCCCATGTACTGTAGCCCGCCAGGCTCTTCTGTCCATGGTATTCCCCAGGCAAGAATATGGGAGTGGGTTGCCATTCCCAGTGGGAAATCAATTTCATTCACTGCATCCCCACCCCTTATTCCCTGTAGCAAGCTGGAATGGGGTGTCTCTCCAATCCCAGCAGGCAGGACAGTCCCACCTTCTTCATCAGCATCAGCTAAATTTCTCATCAGCAGAGGAGTGGTTCCAACACATGTACTGTCGTCATTGTTTGTCCCATCCGCCTGCAATCAGAGAAAAGAAAACACTGCGAAGGTCACAGCATCCTCTCCACTGTGGGCTCAGGTCTGCTCTCTACTGGTGACCTTAGGAAACCATCTGTAAAACCAGAGTTGAGTCAGTTTCCTCAAAAGAAAACTGTGAAGACACTTTTGGAAAAGGCTTGAGCTTTTCATGGAAGATTTTCCAAGTAAGTCCATGTTGATCAGAAAAAAAAAATCATTATCAAGAAGGAATATTTTTGGGCTTCCCTGGTATCTCAGTGGTAAAGAATCTGCCTGCCAATGCAGGAAACACGAGTTCAATCCCCGGTCGGGGAAGATCCCACAGGCCACGGAGCAGCTGGGGCCGGGGGCCACAGCTATTGAGCCTGTGCTCTGGAGTCTGGGAGCTGCAACTACTGAAGCCAGCGAGCCCTAGAGCCCGTGCTCCACAGCAAGAGAAGCCCCCGCAATGAGAAGCCCGCACACTGCACCTAGAGAGTGGCCCCTGCTCTCTGCCACTAGAGGAAAGCCCCCACAGCAGTGAAGACCCAGCCTAGCCAAAAATAAATAAATAAATACAAATTATATTTTTAAAAAGAAGGAATATTTTCCGCAGAAGAAAATGCTCACTCTGCTCACTTTGTAACTGGTCCTGCCCGTCTTTCAAATGTTCTTTGAATCAGTTATTTGTTGATAACAAACTTTTACCCAGCATTTCCCCAAACAAGGGGTTTGTATATGTCATCTATAACATACAGTGTCACATTTTCATGTCTGAATTAGTTAAAAAGAAACAAAGCAAATTTTTATCTCAAAGAAAGGCGAACTTACCTTGGGGGTAGGCGGGGCCTTCTCTGCCCTGTCACTGGGCAGGTCCTCCAGCACGGCCTCAGTGGGAGCTAAGAGGGCATACAGTAAGAGTCAGGATGTCGGTGCTGCTGCTCGGGAATTACTCAAGCCTTATCTGACTGGACATGGGGTGGCTGTGTGTGGATGTGAGGGGTTGAAAAATATGGACTGAGCTACTATTGGGCCTCGTCCTAGGTGGACTGAAGGAAGGCTAAGTGGTGGCTCAGATGGTAAAGAATCTGCCTGCAAGGCAACAGACCTGGTTCAATTCCTGGGTCGGGAAGATCCCTGGGAGAAGGAAATGCAACCCACGCTAGTATTCTTGCCTGGGAGATCACATGAACAGGGGAACCTGGTGGACTACAGTCCATGGGGTCACAAAGAGTCGGACACAACTGAGCAACTAACACTTTCACGGAAGAGAGGCACTTGGAAAAAATGAGCAACTGAGCCTTCAGCTTTCAAGTTCATGGGAACATATTCAATTGAATAGAGTCAGTCTCAAAAAGGGTACACTAAAATGCAGGCTGTTTCGGTGTGAGTGTCTCATGGCTCCTCCTGCCCATTTTAAAGTTCAGCCAAATTTCCATTTTTCCTGAAATATTACAGGATAGTTTCACAGATGCTGCTACTATGTTCCTCATCTACTGATTGGATTTTTTTTACTTCTTTTATATATATATATTTCAAATATATATAATATTTATCCTTGTAATAATTTATAGGTAGTCAGTTTAGTGATATTACCTTCACAATGCAATGTAACCTTCACAACTATCTGTACATAATCTTTTTCATCATATCTTAACCTCTGTACCCATTCAGAAATAACTCCACCTTCACCCCTGCTTCCACTTTTTAGTAATCACTGCTTTCTGTCTTTGATTATCTGGCTATTCTGTTTACCTCATATATATGGAATAATACTTTTCTTGTTTTTCTGTGCCTGCTTGATGTCACGACTGATATATATACATATATATATACATATATATACATATATATATTGTCATATACATATATATATACACATATATATTGTCTATCCATGTTTGAATATGTAACATATTTCAAAATTTACTTCCTCTTTCTGGCTGAATATTATTTAACTGCAAGTATATATTACATTTTATTTATCCATTGATCACAATGAAATTCAGCATAGGTTCCTTCTGTGAACAGTGGTGTACAGATTTCTGTATGGTGACACCTGACATTATATATTTGTCAGAACTCACCCAATGTCACAGCACAATGAGTGAACTTTAATGTAAACTTGGACTTTTAATTAATTAATAATGCACTGGCATTGTTTTGCTAATTTTAACAAATGTACTGCAGTAATGTTAGATGTAGTTAATAAGGGAACCTGCAGGGACTGAATATGGGAACTTTCTGTATTATCTGTTCAACTTTTATTTTAGTATAATTTGGTGCTAAATAGTATCTAATCATATTTTAAAATCTGGAAATGAGGTTTCAGGGATAGATCTATTTCAGCTAATATTAAAAAACCAGCTAAGGTCTAAACATGACTGAGGCCATCTTAACTATTAAACATAAACTGAATTTTGAGTTTTAAATTCATCATCACTTTTATAGTCATAAAACTACCAACTGAGTCAGCCAATTTTAAGTTTCAAATAATCTAAAAGAAGAATATGGCTTAGAATTTTTATAGTTCTTTCTTAAATACGGAACACTGAATGAGCTAGAATAATCGCTCTTGAATGAACTTAGAGTTACTTTTCACAGTACCTTCTTCTGAGTCATTGATAGGGTGCACCCTGTTGTGTGGCCAGAAGTGGGTTATTCTGGCCCAGCTAGTGGGTGATTTTCTTGACTTCAGATGAATGTTTCTTCTTTCATCCCTGAAGCAAGATCCTGGAAAATGAATTACAGCAGACAGAACTACTACCTTGATTTCAGAAGATGACAATGAAATTGCTAATAACTGGCTCACAGGCCAGTCTTTGACCCCTTATTAACGGATAGCCCAGCAAGAGCCTCCAGAGTCAAAGTTGAACTTAGTAAGATCTTGTCTTTTAGGTTTTGTGGGCAAACACCTTTGTGTAGCAGAGACATTCTAGATATATACAGCAAAGCACAGTGACCATGCCTGAAGGCCTGATTTCAAATCCCCTTTATTAGAAGCACACACCTGAGAAAGTGACGTAGATTTCTCTGTACCCCAATTCCCTGTTCTGAGATGTAGAAATGTTAATATGACCCACATATTTATATTGTGTAAAGTGGCCAAAAATGATTCATTACAGGTAAAGCCTTGAGAAAAATAAAGGACTGCTGCTTCATGATTGTTTTATGAGTATTCACTTATTGAACGCTTGCAAGAATAAGCTAGGTATGTGCTAGTGGTTGAACCCAGAGAGGTGATTTGGATGGTGCCAGAGCAAGGGAGGAGGGAAGCATTCTCTCCAGCCTATGTGCAAGAAGGATGCTTTACAGCTCACAAAGAACATCTATTACTGTTTCCTCTGATCCCCACATCAGTCCAGTTTCAGGTGAAAGCCATAAAAAGCAGGTGCTGTAATCCATGTTTTCAGTGGTAGACACTGCAATTTAGAGAAACTTTCCAAGAGTCACAACTATGATGAGTGATGGATGTGGGACAGGAATGTACTTGCTTGCTGATGACAGAGTTCCCTGAACCCCTGAGAATGACCCAAGACTGAGATAATGTGCTGCACCTTTGAATCAAGAGCTCCCCTCCCCATACTCACATTCTCAAATCCTCCTGCCCCAGTTTACGGGGGGTGAGACTTGAAGGCCCGAGGAGATGTCTGAGCCAAGATGACAGTCTCCATCCTCTTCCAGTATGTTACCTCCATGTTTCAATCCCTGATCCATATACAGGAGTTTCCTCCAAATAAATCCCCTCTAAAGGACCAACATCACTGACTCAATGGGCATGAGTTTGAGCAAACTCTGAGAAATGGTGAAGGACAGGGAAGCCTGGTGTGCTGCAGTCCATGGGGTTGCAAAGAGTTGGACTCGACTTAGTGACTGAACAACAGCAAAGGACCAGAGGAAGTTCAGCTGTGGCCATCCTCCCCAGCATCTTCACATTGTCACTGTCTCACATGACACCTTCACAATGACCAGGTGACCACCTCAAGTGACCAGTGAGTAGTCTGTTTGGTTTGAAGGGCTCTCAAGATGGCTACTGAGCATCAGAGGGCTTAATAAGCCATCAGATGGCTTCACAGTGGCCTAAGCCAAATGCCCCACTCTGCCAAGAATTATCTTCCCCTTAGCTGAGCAAACCTGTGTGGGCAGTTAATGTGAACTCACTAGGGAGGTGGTCATCTGGGCTGGTGCTTTGGTGGTTTAGGAAATCTAGTCTGTGATGCTGAATGTCTCACTGACTTTCGATCTAGGTACATGTTGAGCAGCCTGGACCAAGGCCTGTTTGAGAATGGGCAGGAGATCAAGTCTTTCTTCACCAAAATCCAGTCTCTGCTCTATAAACATCTCCTCCATCCATAGATCCTGTAGAGGCAGGAACAGAGTACCATATTCCTTTAGAGAGTCCCCTCCATGTCCTCAGCCTGAACACCCCAGCCCATGTCAAACCTTCCCTCCTTCAGTTGCCAAATACTCATTACTTAATTTGATGGCACTGTCCCTTCTCACCACACTCCCAGGCAATACCCAAAGAGTCTATGATCCTGTCCTCATCAAACCATGGAAATCCTGCCTGGAAATCCCAGTTGCTTTCCATTCTAAAAATGTCTGCATTTCAACTGCCATTATTTGGTTTCGGATTTTGACATCTACATTCAGAAGAGCTGAGCTGTTCCCCTTTCCTGTGATGTTTATTGCAGGGGTGGCATCAAGATTCTCCTGCTTCAATGAGAGTTGTGTGATACAGTTCCTGTGTCTCTGCTCCAGAAGAGTGTACACAAAATTGATGAATTAAGATATAGAATTTTTTCCTGACAGCAGAATTAAAAAGTACCTTAAGTAATACAACAAAGTTAATTAGTAGATTTATATCAATAAGTCTATATGTAGAGTGGTGGAAATGAAAAAAAAACGGTGAGAATATTTTCACTCAAAGTTAATCTCCCATTTGAAGGAATAGCCTTTAGAGGATCAGTATAATGTACCTAAAAATAACAATTCGGATTTCCCATTTTCAAACATTTGAGGTATGAAGGTGAGAGCTTCTCACATGTTGCCAAATTTGAACCTCTCAGCTCATAGACTGACAGTTGGAATGGAAAACAGGATGAGCATCATCACATTACCATAGAAACCAGTCATCATAGAACTTTCAGGGTGAAGGCAACTCTGCCCACTCTGAGTCCACATGCTCTACCTAGACTAGTGTGTGTTCCCATGGACAAGTGTGGCATTTCAGAGTGAACATTTCATTTCAAAAATTGAATCCCAGCCTCACACATTATTGCTCTCTGATTAAGAAAACAAGTTATGTGAGAGGAAAAGACCTCCCCAAATACCTTTGATAAGTCAAAATTTTAGGGTGAGGAGGAACAAAACATGGGGAAGACTTTACATAGGAAGGACGCCTTACTGCTCATGGAGAATATCTATTAGCTTCTCATCTGATCCCTGCGACAGCCCAGTTGCAGGGGAAGACAAATGCAAAGCAGGGGCTATAATCCATATTTTTTCAGTGGAAGACATCATAGTTTAGAATAGCTTTCCAAGAGTCACAACAGTGAGTGGATCTAGGATAGGAATGTTCTTGGTTCCTTGAGGACAAAAGATCCCTGAAACCCTGATAGCCACCCAGAGCTGAGATCATGACCTAGACCCTTGAATCAAGAGTCCCCCTCACTCTTTCCCTCAAATCCTCCTTCTGGTGAGTGTTGATACCCTAGGGAGATGTTTGAGCCAAGATAACCATCCAAAATCCCATCCAACATTTTCATCCATCTTTCAATCCTTGATCAATGATACAGGAGTTTCCTTCAGACAAAGCACCTCTGAAGAACCAGGGGAAGGACAGCTGCCATAGCTGTTATCCTCCCCAGCCTTTACACATTGTCAGCTGTCTCTCAGGACACCTTCACAATGACCAGGTGACCACCTCAAGTCACCAGTGGTCCATTTGGCTCTCAAGATGGCTCAGAGTTCAGAACAGTCTGAACCAAATGCCACATGATGGCTCTGTCAAGAATTAGCTTCCTTTAGCTGACCAACCCTGGATGAGCTGTTAATGTGAACTCACTGGGGAGGTGGCCGTCCGGGCTGATGCTTTGGTCATTTAGAAAATCTAGTCTGTGATGCTGAATGTCTCAGTGACTTTAGATCTAGGTATATTTTTGAGCAGCCTGGACCAAGGCCTGTCTGAGAATGGGCAGGGGCTCAAGTCTTTCTTCACCAAAATCCAGTTTCTACAAACTCCTCATCCTTCTATAGACCCTGTAGTAACAGGGACAGAGTCCCATATTCCCTTTGAGCATCCCCTCCAGATCCTCAGCCTGAATACCTCATCCCAGGACTCTCTTTAAGGACTGCAGACAGACACTCCTTCCCTGAACCAGTTGCCAAATGTTCATTCCTTAATTCAATGGCACTGTCCCTTCCCACCACACTCCCAGGTAACACCCAAGCAGCCTGTGATCTTGTCCTTATCAACCCATGGAAATCCTGCCTGGAAAGTCCGATTGCTTTCCTTTTAACATTTCTCCTGCTAATATTTGGTTTCAGATTTTGACATCTACATTCAGAAGAGTTGAGCTGTAATCCCCCTTTTCTGTCTATTGAAGGGGTAGCATCAAGATTTTCCTGCTTCGATGAGAGATGTGTGATGTTTCTTGTGCCTGTGCTCTGCAAGGGTGTGTATAAAATTGGCATTAGAAATAGCATATTTTTCTAAATTTAGAAAAATATTTGAGGCAGCCAGGTTGATAGCAGAGTTTTAAAGATACCTTAAGTAATATAACAAAGCTGTATAATAGGCTTATAAGTCAATAAAAAAAATTACAGTGGCAGAAATGGGGGAAAAAAGGTGAGAAAAAATATATTTCTTCATCCATTTGAAGAAATAACCTGCCTTTAGAGTATCAATATGAACATACCTCCAAAATAACAATTCAGATTTCCCATTATTCAAACACTCGAGGTGTGAGGGTGACAGCTTCTCATCTGTCACCAAATTTGAACCTCTCAGCTCACAGAGTGACAGTTGGAATGGAAGGTAGGATGTGCATCATCACATTACCATGGAAACCAGTCATCATAGAACTTTCAGAGTGAAGGCTGCCCTGCTCTGTGCAGACTATTGTGTGTTTTCATGGACAAGTGTGGCATTTCAGAGTCAAGACTTTACTTCAAAAATTGAATCCCAGGACCACACATTATTACTCTCTGATTAAGAAAACAAGTTATATGAGAGGAAAAACACCTCCCCAAATAGAGTTGCTATTGAAATTTTCAGAGTGAAGAGGAAAAAACTAATATGTTGAGAATAAAAAGAAGTTTCATTCTTGGTGGAAATACCATTTCTACTATTTCTGAGTCAGTAGACATTTGTTTATCAAACAACTAAATTTTTTTCCAGATGAAAAGCAGCAATAATAAGAATTCAACTGTAAAATGTCACATTCTCTCTCTGAGCATATACTTAACAAATTACATTAATCTTTGTCTCATTCGTTATTACTTTCTTTTTCTCTGAATGCAACTAATTTTGTAGACTTGATTATGTCTCAGTCCCTGTGTATTCATTAAAAAAATGTCCTTGTCATTGTTTATGCACAAGATTGTGTAGTCAATGAGCTAAAAGAATAAATAGTGTATTTTCACCAGTGAGTTGAGTGAAAATATATAATTAAATCTTTCCTATACAAAAAATTTTAGATAACCCAAACTGTAGGATTAAATATATGTTCTGGCTCAAAATTTAACACCTAATCACACCATTCCTATGTTAGGTCATGAAATCTAGCTTTGAAAGTAGCAGCCCCACCCCTACCTCTGGCCTCAGTACAAGTAAAAATTCTAGACGATGAGAGAATTGCCATGTTTAAAACAAAGCAGGTAGTGTTCAAGTTTTGGAATGCTTTGTACAAATCTCTATCATTGTTGATACACCACAAAAACTACAAGTAAGAAATCAAACAGGGCATTGATGAGGTATTACAAGAATATAGATAGTGTCATATTTTCTCCAGGATTACCCTATCTCAATTGCTGTTCCTCAGAGTGATTGAACAAGGGTGAAAAAGAAGACGTAAAATTATACATCTCTAAATTAAGAATTTCATTGCATCCCAGCTTGGTAGAAAATAATATATGTGCTACCATGTATAAAATAAGTAACGAATGAGAACCTCAGTTCAGTTCAATTCAGTTCAGTCGCTCAGTTGTGTCCGACTCTTTGCAACCCCATGGACTGCAGCACGCCAGGCCTCCCTGTCCATTGCCAACAAAGTTTACTCAAACTCATGTCCATTGAGTTGGTGATGCCATCCAACCATCTCATCCTCTGTCATTCCCTTCTCCCGTCTTCAATCTTTCCCAGCATCAGGGTCTTTTCCAATTAGTCAGTTCTTTACATCAGGTGGCCAAAGTATTGGAGTTTCAGCTTCAGCATCAGTCCTTCCAATGAATATTCAGAACTGATTTCCTGAATGGACTGATTGGACTGATTGGATCTCCTCGCAGTCCAAGGGACTCTCAAGCGTCTTCTCCAGCACCACAGTTCAAAAACATCAATTCTTCGGCACTCAGCTTTCTTTATAGTCCAGCTCTCACATCCATACATGACTACTGGAAAAACCATAGCCTTGACTAGGTGGATCTTTGTTGGCAAAGTAATGTCTCTGCTTTTTAATATGCTGTCTAGGTTGGTCATAACTATTCTCCCAAGGAGCAAGCATCTTTTAATTTCATGACTGCAGTCACCATCTGCCGTGATTTTGGAGCCCCCAAAAATAAAGTCTGTCACTGTTTCCACTGTTTTCCCATCTATTTGCCACGAAGTGATGGGACCAGATGCCATGATCTTAGTTTTCTGAATATTGAGTTTTAAACCAACTTTTTCACTCTCCTTTTTCACTTTCATCAAGAGGCTCTTTAGTTTTTCTTTGCTTTCTGCAATAAGGGTGGTGTCATCTGCATATCTGAGATAACTGATGTTTCTCCCAGCTATCTTGATTCCAGCTTGTGCTTCATCCAGCCCAGCATTTCTCATGATGTACTCTGCATGTAAGTTAAATAATCAGGGTGACCATATACAGCCTTGACATCCTCCTTTCCCTATTTGGAACTAATCTGTTGTTCCATGTCCAGTTCTAACTGTTGCTTCCTGACCGGCATACAGGTTTCTCAAGAGGCAGGTCAGGTGGTCTGGTATTCCCATCTCTTTAAGAATTTTCCAGAGTTTGTTGTGGTCACTGTATAGCATAGAGAACTCTACTCTGTTCTCTGGTGACCTAAATAAGGAAATGAAAGAAATAAGGGATATATGTCCAGGCATAGCTGATTCACTTTGTTGTAGAGCAGAAATTAACACAACATTGTAGAACAACTATACTCCAATAAAAATTATTTTTTTTAAAAGAAAAGTGTGTGTGTAGATAAGAAACTTGAGGAAAGAAATAAAAAAGAATTGGGGAATATATTATGAAAAATACACTCATCTGAGGGGAGGAACAGCATTCAAAAGACAACACTGAAAAACAGTTAAGATTTCCATTCTTGGAAAATGATGGGAACAGAGGGTTTCCCTTTCTCCTGCCACCTGAGTATCTGTAAATGAAGAAGACAGGAGTAAACATAGGAAAAGCCCTGAGAAAAATGCTCATCAGAGTGGCAGTGCCATATAACTGCTCAGTTACTAAATGTGGAAGAAATACAGACACGTAACAGTTGTTGCTTCCAGATACAAACCCAGGAGAGGAAGGAAACAGATTGTAGGGTGAGTTCTATGGCACCTCCTGAACTTGCACATTTGTGTTATTTTTCTTGCTCTTAAAGTAATTTTTAATGAACTAACCTCCAAAATTGTGGCATTGAATACCCACTTTATTCGTTCATGGTCACAGGGCAAGTTTAGACAGGGCACAGTGGGAAAGGCTCTTTTCTGCTCTGTGATGCTGGGCCCTCAGTAGAGAAGCTCTGGGCTGAGGGATCAGGACAAGTAGAAGCTAGAATCCTCTGGAGGTAACTTCACTCCCACACCTGCAGTTGAAGCAGGATTTTCTGGAGCACTTCCGTGACACCTCCCCCACGGGGCCTGGACTTCCATGCACCAGGGCAGGCTCAGGGCAGTCAGACCTCTTACTTGGTGGCTGAAAGCACCATAGGGAGTAACCTGAGTGACCATAGAGCCCTCTTGCCTTTTCAAGCAAAACCTTGGCTATTGTAATGTGTTATTTCCAGGAGATTAAGGAAAAAACCTGTCTGAGGTCAAGATGAATGGACAGACAAGTTCCTTTTGCTAAGGTCCTCATCTTGACCTTACAAATACTTGAGGGAAAGGCAAAACTAAGCCAGAGAAAAGTCTGATTACTTGATAAGAAATGCACTGCTGATCATCCTGTGGATTTGCCAGTTACTGTGTGACACTGGATAAATTATTTCATGATCAGGAACATCTGAATGAATGAAGTAGCAAAAAAAAAAAATCTTTACACATTTCCTATAATACCTCCTTATTAATACCTGTTTTACCATTCTACATTTTTAAGAGAAATGAGTACACTAATGACCATAAGACACAGCTTCTGTATGTTTTTATATATGAAATAATACGATGACTATTCTTAGAATGGTAAGAATATGAGGGGTTGGAAATAACATTTAGGGATGCCAGACTTCCTCTGTTGGCTTAAGATCCCATCCAGACACCCCATCCCTAATACATGTGAATGGCTGTTTATTCTTCATTTTCAAACATATTTGCCTGAATAAAGTTAAAGAAACTTTTTTAAAAGGAGGACTTTCCTGACGGTCCAGTGGTTAAGACACAATATGTCCACTGCAGGGGACACAGGTTAGATCCCTGGTATGGGAACTAAGATCCCACATGCTGAGTGGTGCAGCCAAAATAAATACATATGATTTTTTTAATGATGATATAAGCTATAGGGTATTAGGGTTGTAACCAAACCCATTAGTGAGTACCTGACATAATTTATTTCTTGCTGAAAAGATTTCCTATAGAATATAATTTGCTAGCTATGAGAGTGTAATCAAAAAGGTCTTGGTCTCAGTTTTAAATCTAAGATTTATCAGTTATTATGTGACACTGTATAGATTATTTCATGCTTTTTGCCTGAGTATTTTATATGTAAGATTGAATTAACCATGTCACCTACTTTCAGCAGTGTTCTGAGTATTAAATGAGATTTTGTTTAAATGCTAATTTCAGTTTTGGTGCATGTTAGGGGTTCAATGGAGAAGGAAATGGCAACCCACTCCAGTGTTCTTGCCTGGAGAATCCCAGGGACAGAGGAGCCTGGTGGGCTGCTGTCTATGGGGTTGCACAGAGTCGGACATGACTGAAGTGACGCAGCAGGGATTCAATAAATCAGAGCTAGTAAATAGTTGTAAAACAGTGACAGTGGTAGCAACAGTAGTTGTAACAATACTCAACAATACCTCAACAGTATTGCAAATATAGTAGTTCAGTTCAGTCAGTCGCTCAGTCATGTCCGACTCTTTGTGACCCCATGAACCCTCAATCTTTCCTAGCATCAGGGTCTTTTCAAATGAGTCAGCTCTTTGCATCAGGTGGCCAAAGTATTGGAGTTTCAGCTTCAACATCAGTCCCTCCAATGAACACGCAGGACTGATCTCCTTTAGGACGGACTGGTTGGATCTCCTTGCAGTCCAAGGGACTCTCAAGAGTCTTCTCCAACACCACAGTTGAAAAGCATCAATTCTTCTGTGCTCAACTTTCTTTATAGTCCAACTCTCACATCCATACATGACTACTGGAAAAACCATAGCCTTGACTAGACGGACTTTGTTGGCAAAGTAATGTCTTTGCTTTTTAATGTGCTGCCTAAGTTGGTCATAACTTTCCTTCCAAGGAGCAAGCGTCTTTCAATTTCATGGCTACAATCAACATCCACAGTGATTTTGGAGCCCAGAAAATT